CCCCCCCCCCCCCCCCCCCCCCCCCCCCCCCCCCCTCACCCCCCCTGGAAAGAGACTGTGCTCCATGGTGCTATACAGTACGTTTTGAGAAGATCCTCGCGAGTTCGTGAGCATTTACGGATAATCGCCGATGATCTGAAAAAAAACACGCAAAATTGTCATATTTTCGTCCCTTTCTCTCCCCGATTTCGGTTACTTCCACCATCTGGCAAACGGCATGAAGTCTGACGAGCTCCACAGCTGACTCATCGGGGCCAAGGCGACAGTCCCTCCTTTACCGTCGCTCGGTCTGGCAAAACGGGCTAATTTGTACTCTGTATTTACCTCTTCCTTGATTCAGTCCTGATCGCTCCAGTTCTGAGCGATCAGAACTGGAACGCGAACGAAAGCGGGTGAGGATCATCTGTGACGTCATTGACGACGTTCCATCGACGATGACGTCATCCCGCTCAAGCAGCGAATCGTCCCTTCGAATATTAATCTGACGCGATAGCTCCTTCAAACGACTTCGAACTTGAATTTTCTTAAGGAGTGACTTGTTTCGTGCTGTCCTAGAAATTGCAAAAGTGCATTTTTCCTCTTCTGCCTGATCACGATATGATCCCCATGTGAGCGAGACGTTGCTTCACTACATCATAGTAGCTTATCAAAGCTCTTACTTGTCCAGTATATTTAGTTCTTGTAGCGTTTCATGATGAACACGCACATATTGAATGCACAACTCCCCCCATTTTCAAGGATTTTTCGGGAAAACGAAAAAAAAGGCACTTTGGCTGTGATTATGGTAGTCCTATTAAGATATCAAACAAAAGCTTAAGACTCACAGTTGTCGTTTGAGACAATAATCTCAAGACACGAAAGGACTCTATTTTTCGCATTTTAGTAGGAAAACAATTATACAGGGTGGCGCACAAAAATGTTTCACATTTCATTAACCTGTATTTTCATTATTTATTAAGGCAGAAAATTGAGTTACGTGTCATCTGATAGGCAAACTCAAAAGTTTGTTCATGCTAAAATACATGTTCAAAGTCTTCACCGTTCTTATGGATGGGCACAAGAATCACTGAACAAGGTTATTGAAAACACTGATGTACGTTGCAGATAGATTATCCGAAGGAACGGTGTTTCCTCAAACATGTGTTTCAACATAAAAAAACTTGTTTAGTTTGTCTATCAGGTGACATGTAATTCAATTTTCTACCTTAATAAATAATGAAAATATAGTTTTATGAAATGTGAAACATTTTTGTGCACTACCCTGTATAAATACAAGTTTTTTGGTACGAATATACAAACCATAAAGAGCTAGGACCTCGGCTTCTAATCAGATGAAACTAGAATGAGATATCCTTTGACATCTCAAGGAACATTTTTGGAGCATTTGCGAACTTTCCATTCTGGATTCTCCTGAAGCGCATGAAAAATCTCGTGGTGCACGTCTTACTCAAAATCTTGCTACTTTCCCATATACGGGGGGTCCACCAACATGTAGTACCTATGTAAGAGGACTTTTATCCTTTCCCCTAACGAGATGACGTACAAAATACTCATTTTTCTCCCATAGTTCTGTGACAAACCACAATGGTTCAACCCAGACTCAGAAGACTGCGAGTCATCGACCTCAGAGTGTAGTTCACCCGGAGAATCTTGCAATCCTCCAGCTTGAAGCAACGCAACCGCCTCAACGAATAAAAGAATAAAACCAATTAGAAAGACCGTACAGAAAATGCTTCTTGACTTTCCAAGACACACCAGACAACCGACAAAGCGCTCACTAAATCCCTAGTCCTCCAACTTATAGAGCTGCTTCCTCCTCCGCTGCGCCTCGAAGGCATCCTCACTGAGGATGGCGACATTCGAGGGAGGAATGAGCC